CATTTTTGGTTAATTTATCTATAAATACGTGCAAATCATTATCCCAAAAAATATTTTAAAAATATCGTGATTTGAACCGTCAACCGATTTGAAACCTAAATACAGCGTTGCTGGCGCTCTCCACGGAAAATTCTTCAATTTTGGTTTAATAGTGAACAATAACGTGTTAAGCATTATCCTAATTAATATTTTGAAAATATTATGATTTGACCGAATGGCGCAAAACCGACCACTTACTAAATATTCGATCGACCAAATTTGATAGTAATATTATTTGGAAAATGTTCATTTTTGGTTAATTTATCTAAAAATACGTGCAAATCATTATCCCAAAAAATATTTTAATAATATCGTGATTTGACTGAAACCGATTTGAAACCGAAATACTGCATTGCTGGTGTTATCCATGGAATCTTCATTTTTGGTTTATACGTGTCCATTAACGTGGTTTATGATTTGACCAAATGCCGAGCTCAAAGCCGACCACATCATTTCTTTTGTCTTACTTTTTTAGATTTTCTTTTATCTTGTTTCATCTCGATTCTTTCTTCATACATTTTTCTTCTCTCTTCCTTTTTGCTACTTTTTATATCTTCTCTCATCTTTTTCTTTCTAATCATACCAGTTTATCAATGATTTATAGATAAAGATTCCAGCAATTTATTATACTCGAAATAGAAAACAATAAAATAAAATATTTGATATTTGCGAATAGATATTTATAAAATAATAGCATTATTTAAAGATTATCTATTACATGAACATTATGTGCAAAGTTTAAAAGCTTTAGAACCTAGAGACTGCAACTGAATATGATAGTGGTAAGCATGGCCAGAACTTCTAAGCCCATCACTATGAAATTCTCGAGAGGGTATAAATTCTAGCCAATATGCCTTCTTAGTATCGAGTTACTTATGATAAAAATAAATGTAAATTAGAATCCCGATACTTAAAATACTGAATTTCTTCTCTCGTTTTGATTTTTATTAATCTCTAGTGAAAAGGTCGATCTTCAAATAATTTGATTATCCATGTAAGAATTCAATCATATATTTTTCAAAGATATGCTCTACGTAATTATAGATTCAGAGCATTGCAAAACGTCCTTCCTTTTATTTTGAAATCCATTTAACTTTAGCGACAAACTTTATAAAATTTAATGACAATAATTAAATTTTGATTTATTTAAATCTTTATTATTTTTATAAAAATTGGAGAAAGCATCTTTGTATATTTTATAATTTTAATCTTTTATTTACTAATTAAACACGATGTTACGTTTATAAAAAATATTTGCTTGAAAGGAATAACATAGCTATATCCAAAATATAAGAGAAGCTAAAAAATACATTAAAAATACAAAAAGTATTTATTAAAGAGAGACTAAATATAATTTATATATATACAATATTGTTTGTATTTGTTATATAGTCCTTTGTTTTCGAACAGAAACTATTTAAATTCCTCTTAAGCGTGAGTTTCTTGCAAATAAGGCTTTTAAATAAAAATTTAGTTGAAAAGTTTATCTTTATGGATGAAAACAAGAATTTTTATACCAATTTTAATATTTTATAAATCGATCACACCCTCTCACTCATTGTTAGATAGACTTGATAATATATATTATATTTTTTAAATTTTCTCAAGCTACTTGATAATCGTTTCTATAATATTATACAAGATATCCATGTCCTGAGTCAAATGCCCCGGTCCTAAGATCTTATTAAATTAAACATTGACCTTGCCAATTTACAAGAATGGATTTAATAAATATCAATTCAATAACTGGAAAATCATATAATAGAGGGTTTAAAATTTTTTTCGGATCATATTTTCAAAATTTATAAAATTACAAAGAAAATTTTTCATAGTAATGAAATATACAAATTTACAGGCCGAGGTCATAAAATGTTGTTATCGGTCAAATCATGATATTTTTAAAATATTTTTTGGGATAATGTTTTACACGTATATATAGATATAAAAAAAAATTAACATTTTTCAATTAATATTACTACCAAATTTGGTCGATAATAATTTAATAAGTGGTCGGTTTTGAGCTCGGAATTCGGTCAAATCATAATATTTTCAAAATATTCTTTGGGATAATGCTTAACATTGTTCACTTGTAAACCAAAAATGAAGAATTTTCTATGGAGAGCGCCAGTAACACAGTATTTCGGTTTCAAATCGGTTATCGGTCAAATCACGATATTTTTAAAATATTTTTTGAGATACACGTATATATAGATAAATAAACCAAAAATGAACATTTTACAAATAATATTACTACCAAATTTGGTCGATAATAATTTAATGAGTGGTCGGTTTTGAGCTCGGAATTCGGTCAAATCATAATATTTTCAAAATATTTTTTGGGATAATGCTTAACACCTTATTGTTCACTTGTAAACCAAAAATGAAGAATTTTCTATGGAGAGCGCCAGCAACACAGTATTTCGGTTTCAAATCGGTAATCGGTCAAATCACGATATTTTTAAAATATTTTTTGAGATAATGATTTACACGTATATATAGATAAATAAACCAAAAATGAACATTTTACAAATAATATTATTACCAAATTTGGTAGATCGAATATTTAGTAAGTGGTCGGTATTGAGCTCGCCATTCGGTCAAATCTTTATATTTTCAAAAAATTATTTAGAATAATGCTTAACACCTTATTGTTCACCTATAAACCAAAAATGAAGAATTTTCCATGGAGAGCGCCAGCAACGCAGTATTTCGGTTTCAAATCGGTTATCGGTCAAATCAAGGTATTTTTACAATATTTTTTGGGATAATGATTTGCATGTATATATAGATAAATTAACCAAAAATGAACATTTTCCAAATAATATAACTACCAAATTTTTAAATATTTAGTAAGTGGTCGGTTTTGAGCTCGCCATTCGGCCAAATCTTAAAATTTTCAAAAAATTATTTAGGATAATGCTTAGCACTTTATTTTTCACTTAATAACCAAAAATGAAGAATTTTCCATGGAGAGCGCCAGCAACGCAGTATTTAGTCATTAGGCCGGTTTCAATTCGGTTATCTGTCAAATCACGATATTTTTAAAATATTTTTTGGGATAATGATTTATACCTATATATAGATAAATAAACCAAAAATGATTATTTTCCAAATAATTATACACAAAATTTGGTCTATCGAATATTTAGTAAGTGGTCGGTTTTGAGCTCGGCATTCGGTCAAATCATAATATTTTCAAAATATTTTTAAGGCTAATCAAAAATGAAAAGATTTTGATCAATAACGCCTGATATGTTCCTTACAAACTTTCTACTGTTTTTCGATTCTAAACCTACTCATTAATTAAATGTCAAAGAAACCTCTATTTTTTAAAAATTTTTTAGGTTTTTCATATGAATTTACACCCAAATACAAAAAAAGCGCTATCCAATATTTATTCTGGTTTCCTAAGAATATATTTTCATATTTATGCATTTATGCATTTAACGCCCTCTTATGGATATAAATTTGTTATATTTTGTAATTGAAAAATAAAATTTAAGTTGTAGTAAGCTAGTAAATATATTTTTTTTTCCTATAATATTAAGTATAAATAGAATTTTAAATTATTTGATATTTAATATCAATTTTTTACTTAATTAAAAATTGATTTATGTAAAATTAAAAAAATGTTTTTGAAATTTTTTTTTAAAAAGTTATTATATAATCAAATTATGATTGATTATGATTAATTGCTCTCTAGCAAGGCATTTTATTAGCAACACAGTTTAGCAACCGCAGTATTTAGTCATACCCGTATATGGGCCATACAACAATGGTCCGTAGCACAATTGGTATTTCAACAGGCTTCACAATAACCGAGGTAGTTCATCAAGCGTCTGCTCTCAGCTCACTTCTCTTCATAACAGTAATACCGTCTAAAAACAAACACTCCCTTGGAATATGATATTTGCAGAGGATATTGTGATACTTGTCGAATCCAAGGATGAAATGTAAGAAAGATTTATGAGCTGGATAGATATCCTAGAAAAACAAGGACTAAAAGTAAATAGAGAAAAGACAGAATATATGGTGATAGGAGGAGATGAAACAGAGAGCATTGATATAAATGAATGGCAGATATCGGCAATTGAAAGCTGCAATAATTGGGCTCCACTATACAAACAAATGGCCCAATAGAGAAAGAGATAAAGTGTAAAATTAATCATGGGTGGTTAAAGTGGATATCTTTATCTGGAGTGCAATTTGACAAAATAATCCCACACAAATTGAAGGAAAAATACAGTTCCATAGTACAACCAACTATTCTACATAGTTCGGAAACATCCCAACCAAAGAATCAGACGAGAGAATTCTACAAACTATGGAGATGAGAATGCTGAGGATGATTGCTGGGGTAACAAGAAAGGAAAGGTGCGAAGTACAAGAATACTAGGAAGCCTAAAGGAGTGCCCATTAAGACTAAGATAATGGTAAATAGACTTAGGTGGTATGGGTATACAATGAGAAGGCCTATGAACTACATAGGAAATAAGGTTGAGAGTTCGGAAGTGATAGGTAAACGTAAAAAAGGAAGGCCAAAACTTCAATGAGGCCATAAAGTTTGAGCCAATATGAAGAAGTATAAATTAGATAAAAGAGATAGTATGAATAACATAAAGCGGAGAGAGATATTGAAGGAGCTTACCGCTGAAAAGGTGAAATCAAAAAGAGGGAAAAAAATCATATTATTTTTAATTAAAAACTACATTTTTAATCTATTACACCATCTAACGGATATATATTTATGATTTTTAAATTTATAGGTGTTATATTTTCTATGTATTATATCTGTTCTATAAATATTATAAATTTATGGATTCTATATTCTATTTACTTAGATAATATTAATTTTTGAATAAATAATTTATATAATATAAACCTTTTATTTATATTTTTAAAATAAATTGATAGGCTATAAAATAAAACTATCAATTATACTTATCTATTCTCAGTTTACCTGTCAATTCTCAGTTTAGTTACACCGTTTTTTAATTTTTTTGTTATAATGGTTTGGTCGTATTATGGTATTATTATTGGTTTTATTATGGTTATTTCAGGATCTATTAACACACTTTCCACCAAGTTAATTTGTCTTATATTTTCTAGATTATTTTATAATATACCAAGATGGGCGGATATTACTATATCGCCAGGCTATTCCTCTAAGCCTCATTTGTTTAATCACCCATTAATCCAAGTAAAATACATCCTGCTTCAAAAAATGATTATTTTTTAAGACTGCTGGTATGTTTTTTGGTGAAATTTTATGCCTAATAGCATTTAAGATTGTTAATTGTATTAAACTAAGGCATAATAATGAGAACTTACCTTTATTAGAATTAAACCAAAGGGACTTGAATTCTTTTTCACCATTTATTTTTTTCCCTCCATGCTTATGTGACATGATTGCTACATCACTAATGTATTTTGCATTAGTTCTTACATATGCCTCTAGCTTTCAAATGCTTAGAGGTAATTGTTTAAATTTAACTGAAAATTTTTTATTACATATGATAGGTGCAGTAATTATTTTCACTGGTCTGATGTCAGTGACATTTCTAAATTCTTATTTATCTCCTATTAAATGGTTTGGAATCTTCATCATAATTGCTGGATTAACCCTTGTTGGATTATCAGATTTATTATTTGTAGATAATAATCAATCTTTCAACATAGGTTACAAACCTTTTGACAGAAATGGAGTTATTGCTGGTAAAATTGATATCATGAATATTAACTTAAACTAAAATATTTCCTTTACTTGTATGCATATTTTTTTATAATTTAATTCAACAATTCCAAATCTTATTCAGTTTTTTTTCTAGATATGATTTGCAAATTTTGTAAAAAAAATAAAGAAGTAATACACAACTAATACATTTAAAAAAAATTTTACAAAGAAAATTTATCATGACTTTCTTCTTTTAGATATGTGTTAATGATAATAATAGAAACAATTATATATAACTTAGTTTTAACTTGATTAACAAGAAATTGATTTTGCTATCTTTATAACTATTAAGTATAGTTGGGTAATTTTATATTTTTAGTGCCAATTCTGAGTACTATCACTTTAGCCTAGGGATTTTTCTTAAAAATATAACAGCTCAAATTTGAAAGAAATTAAATAAATTAAAACACCTTAATGCCAAAAAATTTTCTCTAGTATGTACTGTAGATTAAGCCAAATTAGCTGACATTTAGCCCAACCACTATTTTGTTAAAATATAATAAAGTTTTCAAAATATGTTTTTACTTACAAAATTTTATAACTCCCCCTTCCTAATAAAGATGATAGATTGATAATTTATTTTTTATAACACTCAGTATCATAAATAATGTGAGGTAAATTTAAAAATAAAGAACAATTAAGCTAAATGTACTTATATAAATAACACTTAAAATAGTAAAAACTTCTGAGTAGTGCTGTGAACATTTTTAAAAAAAATCGAACGCGTTCAACGTTCATTGACAAAAATCAAACGCGTTCACGTTCAAGATCACTTTCCAAAAAAAGAACGCGTTTCAGGTTCATGAACCGTTCAAAATTATGATAAATTTTTTTTTAAATTTTCTAATATAAATAAATGTCTTATATTTATTAACACAATATTAGCCATGTTAAAAAATAATATAGTTTTATTTTGATAATATAATTATGAATTCAAAATAATATATAAAATAAAAAGATATTTTTATTTATAAAAAATTTTTCTTATTAATTTTTAATAACAATATTTTTCAAAATTTTTATCTGATAGACAAGAACGCTTGGCAGTTAATACAGCATTAGCTTTACGCGCTCAAGGGTAGATGAGGTGATTGAGGTATTATAATTAATAAATAATTTTTTTAACATGGGGATATTAAAAACATTTATTGTTTTGTTATTTACTTCAAACAATTGAGATAAGTTTTCCTTCTCCAATCCATTCTCTACTTTCTCGACAATAAAAACGATATCTCGATTATCAGTTCTTGCATTATCATTTCTAGGGTTTTCAAAGCATTTTTTTCAATAACGCTAAAGTTTATTTCTAATAGGTTCGTTCTGTGGAAGTTTTATCCATGGCCATTGAAGCTTGAATAATGGATGTATAATTGCAGAAAGAAATTGATCTTCATATATATGTTCAAATCTTTAAAAAAAATAAAATCCATGTAATTAATTGAGAGTGATAGGTTTAATACCTTTTAATAATCCCATATAATATAGCTTCTATCAATGGTTGACCATATTTGAGGCCACTAATTTTTTTTAATTTTATAATAACTATCGTTAATGTTGTGATCATATATCCCAAATGCATTTTTTTTCAAATTTAATCATTTTACTTAGTTATATTATATTATATAAAATAAATAATTAATATTAAAATCAAATGTTGTTTTAATTGGAACCTGAAGATTTTGACAATATAATACTTTTTAGTCACATTTTACACTTGGTAAGCATTGAATTAGGTCATTCAATATAGGATGTTACTGTAAAACATATCATATTTGGTCATGGTAATAATAATTTATCTGATTTTGGATTTTCAGAATCAGATGATGGATTAAATAATAATATTCATGCTTATGCTAATCTATTAAAATATAAAAATAATATTCAAATTAATAAGCTATGTGTTAAAAAAATTGAAATGTGAAAATGAAATACGCAGCCGATTAAAAAATATAAATAATACTTTTTTTAACCCTTTCGCGCCCGAAATATTTCCCGTGAACAAAAAATTTTTCTTCTTCTAAAACTGAGTTAAACAAGACACAAATAACACATTTTCAACATTTTTTATTTAAAAACTGTATATATAGATTTATGAAATGTTACCAATTATCATCATTGGGATATTCATATGTAAAGAAATATACAATTTATTTTGAATGATAAAAAATAAAACAATTGCGATTTTATTTAAACATAAAGATATTTTACATTTTATACATTCAAATCTTGAATAACCATTTTTGCAGTTCTTGTATCTTTGTCTGCTAGCCGCCGATGGCTGTTTTATCTAATTTAATCTCTGTGATTGAATGTAAACTACAAAGTAGGTCTACCTTCTTTTTCACCATTTTCCTTTCCAACCATCATCAATCCTTTAGCTATCGGAGCTTTAAATACTAAAAGAGATACATGTTTACTATTTTTCTGTTATGTGGCATCTATAGAGCAATTATGAATTTACTACAACAGGAATCTAAAAAATTAAAGAAAACTCGCATATAAAAACGCTCCCATTTTATGTCAGTTCTGTAGAGTTCAATTAACATATCATGGAGATCCACCCCGCCCATACCACCGTTATAGTCTTGAATTATGGCCGGAATTTCAACATTGAGAAAAGACTTATCAGATACCGACCATCTTGTTCTTAATATTGGATTTATTCCGATAAATGATGATATGGTGAAAATCGATTTGTTATCAAACGATTTGCAAATTATAATATTATTATTAGAATCTTATAATCAAGGGACCCTCTTCCTTTTTTCTTTAGGATTTTATCGTCATACAGATGGCATTCCGATAATCGATTAGATATAAGGGTCCTCGACATGATAAACCATTATCTTTGAGTGCAACTGCTAAATTATACAAGAAAAAAAGTTATCCATGTAAATTTTATTATTTTTATGTGGGAGAACAGTTTCTAATAGTTGTATAACGATATTTCCGCTAATTCCCTTCAAAGTTTTTTTTATGTTTGTAGATTTTTCTAAATATATTTCGAAATCATATAACATTCCAGATGATCCACATAAAGCGAAAATTTTAATTTCCCATTTATGCAGTTTTGAGCTAACATATTGTTTAAATCCATCTCACTCTGGTATAATGTATGTTGTGAGGTCTCTAAAAATTATTTATAAAAATTTTAAAAAAAGTATAATAAAAAAAAATTCCACTTTCTTATCTTTTAGCAAATATTATATGGCATTCTAAATGGAAAATAACCTATATTCAATTCTTACTATATCATATTTTTAATATTTAATTTTAAAAAATTTATAGAAAAAATTACATAGTAAAATCCCAATCTTACCAATTTAGATTTCCTTCAAAAAATCATATAAATAATAGTTATTGTTAATTTTTTTTTACTAAATATGAAATACTAGTAATAATCTATTATAAACACATTATATATCTTTGATTTATATATATTTATATAGAATGGTTATCGATGTAAAAGTGTAAAAATTTTGGCGCGTAAATACCTAACTTTGAACTTGTATTTTGATATAATAAAATTATGATTTTGACAGATTAATGATAAAATATGAAATAATTTTTATATATTCATTCGTCTAAATAGCAACCATTCGTTTTTTAAATATAAAAATTAATTGATTAAAAATTATGATGACAAATGATCTCGCTGGGCGCAAAAGGGTAAAAAATTCTGAAATATTAAATTTTCAAATAAATAAAAATAAAAAGTATTTTTAAAATTGAACGAATGTTAAATTCGAACGCGTTCGTCATAAAAAGGAACGCGTTCACGTTCAAAGTTCGTCAAAAATAAAAGGACGCCGTTCATCATTTTTTTCAAAAAAACGAACTTCATTCGTTTACAACACTACTTCTGAGTGATTTAGTATATCTTTTGAGAAATTCAATAAAAAAATTTATTTAGCAAAATTATCTTTGATTTATAAAAAAAATTAATTCATTAAAAATTATGAGAATTAGTTTCATTTTGAGCAAAATAATATAAATTATGGTTAATGCTAGATATAACATGGTGTGATATTGAACGAACCAAATTTAGATATGATCGAGTTAACAATTGTTCATTTATAATATTTATATTTAAAAAATAGTCATTTCGAATAGTGTCTCTGAGTGGATGAGTGCTTGTATCTCAATTCAAAGGTACAGGGTTCGAATTCCGAAATGGATCATGTTTTTTTTCTGAAGTCAACTTGGTGGTTCGATACTTGGTGGATGTTATATAATTGGACTTGACCACGTGATTCCATTAATAAATATTGAATAATAAATAGGTTTTATTAACTTTAAAAAAATTGGTCATTGTTTAGTAATTACTAAAAGTTGACTATGTTATATCTAAAATTCAAAATTCGACTATTATCATATGTAATGATGCAAAAAACAACTCAGCTAAGTTTATAGACGTAAAAATGGGCTCAACCTTGAAAGAAAGAAAGCTCGAGCTTAAAAAATTAGCTCAACCTTCAAGCACGAGCTGAAAAGACGAAAAACGGCAGTTTTTTAGTTTTTTAAAATCAGCCTGGTTAACAAATAATAGTACTAATATTTAAATATTTAATAATTAATTATCCAAAAATTAACACAAATTTATTTATTTAAATTATCAATCACAATATTTTACAAAAATACAAAAAATTTTTATTCTTTAAACAAACAAAAAACTGATTCCTATTATAAATTTTTTCTAGACTTTTATATAACATAACATTTGCATACTAAATAATTTTATAAACAACTAACTAATTATATTATAAATCTTTTTCGACCTTTATCACATTTGCATACTAAATAATTTTTTAAAAATATTATGTTCGATTTAATACATCAAAATAATATATTCAAATTTTCTTTCTCTTTCTCTTACACTTCCAACACCCATTCCCTTAGATACTTCCATCTAGGCAACTTGATTCATCTCTGGATTCAACACTATTGGCACCTCATTAGTTGATCCCCCCACAAGCCCAAAATTGCTTTGATCTAGGATGATCATATGGGACCATTCTTGTCCTTCGGTCTTCTTGGCGTCCCATTCTCATATCATTCAACATCTCCATATAGTTTCGTTGCTTCTTTCCTTGCTAATCTTAGCCAGTTTCTGTAGATTATTAATCCATCTATTGCGTGTATTTACCCATGATAAAATTTCCACTCGCCTGTACGTAGCCAACAAAAACAAAATTACTTTTGCATATAAAGTTAACCCTTTTGCTTCCTATATTCCTCTATCTTATAATCTTTCGTTTCGTTTTCAATAAAAGAACCTCAAACTCGATTTTGCTTAATATTTCATTTTTCAATAAAAGCTCAAATTTTGCCTTCATCCGAAAATTCAGTTTTTAATCACATCAAATTTTGCTTTCATCTGATTTACCCATCATTCTACTGGTTAGCCCCTGCTATTTATTTATGAACACATATTAAAGTATCTTGCCTTATAAAAATTAGTGAAAATATGTTCACCCTAAATTTTAAACAAGCCACCACCCCTCCAAATAACAAATGATTTAATACTTAGGTACAAAATATAAAAGTAAATTTAATGTTATTAAATTACAATAGGAAAAATAAAAAGATAAATCTAGGTTAACAAATAATTAAAAGTTAACTTCAATCATAGTCAAATTATATATAAGTAAAATCAAAAGGTTTTACATTTAATCAAAAATGTTATATACATTCAACAATTATGAAATGATGAGAAAATACAAAACTATGAAATGCTTGTAGAAAGGTCAAATCTTTAGAAAAGATAAGAGAGATAGCCAGTTGAAAGTTACATGCATAGGAATATTCTATATGATAGTCAATATCCTAATAAATGGTAAAATTTTAAAAATATCAGTTATGCTAATGGCAATTGAGTTGTATTAAATAACAAAACCAAAATCTGCTTCCGTGATAACAATACCATTGATTTACCAAGTTGCAAAATTACAGACCTATCTGATATTTTATAAAAGCGATAATTCATAAAGCATGGTTTCTAATTAAATTCATCCATCATCAAATTAAGGAGAAAATTCTAATTCTTTGTCAAACTTGATGATCTATCATCTATAAATGCCAATATTTACTTATGCATAAAAATTACCTAATTAAAAGATATATAATTATAATTGTATAAATCCTTCCTTAATGGTTTTTAATAATGGAAGGCACAAAGCATTCCTTGGTTAATTTTTCTCCAGAGTTTTGAGTAAGTTTGTAATAAATCCATTCTTCAATAAGATCTTTATTGTAAGAAAATATATTTGAAAATTTAAACATTGATACTGTTAATATTAACAATCTGATGAAATGGCTAGGCTATATTTTTTAATTTGATAGATTTTCATTTATTGATAAATTATCTAAATCTGAGACATCTTGACTGAAGAGGGACGCTGGGAAAATCCCATGTCCGCGCAAGAAACTTCGTATACATGAATGTTAAGTTTAAATTAGTATAATATAGTTTTTTTGTTTGTGATAAATTATAGCATTTAGCAACGATAAATATAATTTTTTTATAGGCATGCCCCATAAAGGGGTGACATGTCGTATTTATATATATATATTAATATTATATAGTGCCAATCAACCGATTTAAATAGGGTTGATTGGATAATATTTAAATTTGTATAACACGTGATGTTTTTATATATTTTTTATAAAACCAAAATTGTAAAGAACGCCATTATTAAAGTTTTGATGATTATTATAAAATTCTTAAAAAATTATAAAATCAAATTTGGCCTGGTCGAGTTTTGTGGACATTAATGGTATCGAGTTTGGTCATTTGATAATATAGAGAGATTAGAAAAGATACTAATCTTGATATCCGGAAAATGTAAAGAATAATGCCAAAACTATATAAGATAGCTATAACTGTGCTAGCAGTCCCAGCTATCCATAGAAAGATCCCTTTTTAGTCTTAAGTTTATACTATCTACGCAGAGAACTAAAATCCTGAAATATTTGAAAATATTTTAGTTATCCCTTCTAATTCTCTTTATAAACATAAATAGTATAAATTTCATTATATTTATGCGTTATTTTATTTCTCATTGTATTTGCGCATGTTCTTTTTATCTTATTTATTTATAAATAAAAAAAATTAATTTGTCTAATTTATTTTTACTAAGTTTAATAAATATATCTATAGATTATCATGGTATAAATTTTAAAGATTTTTCTCTAAGATTATATGGTTTATGATTAATTTTATTTTAAAATCAAATTTATAAAAACTGAAAAGAACCATTATAACCCGAACCCATATGAATTTTTTAAAACCGAAATAAAACAAAACCTTTATAAAATTTTTAACTAAATACGAAACTAACCGAACCACAATACTTAACGGTTCGAAACCCTGCTGGCGCACCTGATATGGCTGGGTAAGATTATTTTGTTCATTTCATCTGAAGAATAACATTACAAAATACTGTATTAGCCATCTTTAATTTCACTGAATCCTAATAGGTCATTCTCATAGCCATTGTCAATATTATTTATTTTTACACCACATTCATTTAATGATTTGATGAAATTGGAGGCGTTATCTCTAACTATACCTAAAACAAGTTATTCGATTCAATAGGAAAATATATTATTTATCAAATAATATTTTCTCATTCTATAAAATTATTCGAATTTTTTTAATAATGATTATAAATTTTTTCAAAAAAAAATATAAATATACAGTTGCATAAATCTTATTTAAAATGTCAAGAAGATATTAAGTACAAGATATTATCTTAGATAAGACTATTTGCTTTATTGTCAAATTTTGTATATAACCATTTTTTTTATTTTGTTATTTAATAATGATCAGCTATTTTTTATACAAAACATAAGAATCCTTGATTTAATTTTTCTTTTTGACAAATTATCTAAATCCTCCTAATATTATTTATAAAAATTAATTAAATTTCCATTATAGGATGAAATGATAATAAATTAACTCAATGAATTGTTATATTTTCATTAATTAATTATATATAAATATACGATTCTCCAATATTTATCATTTTTTTTTATGCATGTAGGTGATCTACTTATAATATTGGCTCAAATTATAGTAGCTTGCCAAGTAACTTATGAAGAACGTGTTATTACAAAATATAATATCAGTCCACTACAAGCTGTAGGATGGGAAGGTAATTATTATTTCAAAAATATCATTAATTAATTTATTTTTATTAAAAGCACTCGATACCAATTTTAGCCGGTACCGGACCTAATCTAAACTTCTGCCACCGGATCTTATATAAAATGTTTTTTACCTAATTTATTTTAAACCTTCAATTCGATAAAATATTAAAATAAATTAAAGTGTTAAACTTATATCCACTATATCAATATAAATTTATTTATAATTGTTAAAAGTTAAAGACTGGACCAAATTTTTATATTAAATATTTTAGAAAGCTTGACTCTAAAAAAATAAGGATGAGGTCATAATTAAGAAAATATTTAAACCATTGTAATCTCATTTTGATGAAAACAATTAAAATGAGACTTTATATATGGTGAATTCTATGACAAATCAACAATAAAAACACGATTTTCAACCCGACACCTTCAGATTTTTCTAAAATTTATCAAAATTTATATATATTATAATTAAGAATAAAAATAAGCCTTATGCGTTATACTATTCAGATATTATTTAAAAATTTTAAATTCGAAAATGATCATGATTAGGGGGCTTGAATTAACAATTTTTTGAGTATTTAAAAAGAATACTAATCTTAAAAAAAAATTTAATTTTACAATTAAATTTAAATTACATAATTTAATTAAAAATAATTTTCAAATTTACACTAAATAATTTTTTGGGTTTCCGAGCGCTATCTATAATTATAATATATTGCCATATCCAGACAACGTTATTTTCAAACCGGTTTTTGGGTATTTTAAAGCAATATTTTTATATTTCCTAACATAACTTTTCTATTTAATTTTTTCTATAAAATATTATATTTTAAAAAAATCTGGAGCCCCATTTCAAGACGCCATTTAATTTATTAAGATCAAATTAGTTTGTTTTCTATTTCCGATTAAAAAATGGAAATATATTATATAAAAAAATTGTCAAGTTAGTATCCTTTGTATGGAAAGAAGAAAAAAATGATTGCTGATAACATTACCCAAAAACCGCTTTAAAAAAACGTTCTGTCTAGAAATGGGTTTAATGTTTTCTTATAAACTATAAAATTTAAATAAGGAGTATTTGGTTTTTTGATGCTAAGCGTGATAATTTTTATCATGAATTTCGTTCCACTCTCTTACTTTTCGAGTTCAACAAACCCTTATATAATGGTCGAAGATGTTAGAGATGCTTTTTATCAAATCAAAAATTCATGGATATTAACCTTAGCTATGTTAGGTTCACAATTATTATTTTTTACAATATCCATTTTTTTAAAGGAAACATATTGAGCATAGCCATTTTTAATTTCGCCGGTGTGTCTATAACCAAAAATATGAATGCTACAACAAGAATGGTTTTGGATAGCTTTAGATCTTTATTAATATGGGTGGTATCGTTAGGGATATCCTGGCAAAAATTTCATTATCTTCAACTAATTGGTTATTAATAATATAATATTCTAATAAATTTATTTTATAGGATTTTTGGTATTAATAATTGGAATGATTATTTACGAAAAACTATATACCCATATTATAAGGCCTTTTCATATTCTTATAGTAGATACAAATTAGAATTTTTATGCAGTTATTAGTATCATCATTTTAGTTAAAAAAATTTATCTTGTTGCATGGGTTTGTAATTGTATTATAAAAAACATTTATTTGGCAAATTATTGAAATGATAATAGCTCCTAATCATAGGAAATTATCAGAAATGAATTAAGTAATTTCTTGCTTTTTAATAAATCATCATATTAATTGTTTAAAAAATAATTTCTAATACATTCAGCTCCCGATATATTAATCGTAAATAAAACAAGTTTCACTTATATTAGGAACGAATTTAAATAAATTTAATCGACTCCGTAAAGTTGGCCGATCGATTGGAAGCACAACGATGAATCATATTTATTTTTTAGTGCTTGTTAGTGCTTCAATCCGTATAGTAGCCTAATTTAAGGGAAAAAAGTTATATGCAAAAATAAAAACTTGTGCCAACTTCTCGCTTAAAAGTCGATTGAAAGCACTAACGATGAAATATATATCATTCTTTAAGGCTTCCTTAGTATTGATTTGTAGCCGAATTTTAGAATAAAACGTTATTTGCGAAAAAATAAATAATAAATGGCGGAAAACAAAAGATATAGTAGTTATAAACATCCGGTTCCCCTATATTTAGTGCTTAAATTAAAATTTTATAATAAATTTGGCTAACCGCCATAAAATTTTAATACGCTAAAGAAATGTTTAAAGGCCAAACTGATCAGCAAAACAATGGAAGTACTAACGATGAAATTTATATCATTCTTTAGGGCTTCCTTAGATGAGGTTAGTGCATTAATCACTTTAGTAGCCTAATTTAACTATAAAAAGATATTTCCGAAAAAATAAACAATAGATGGCGGCCACCTAAAAAAATCTAGTAAATATAAACATCCGGTTTTCGCCAATATTTAGAGCTCAATAAAAATCCCGTAATTAATTTGGTTAACCGCTATATGAAAAAATTGTAATACGCTAAAGAAATGCTTAGAGGTCAAATTTTGACCTATGAAAGCACTAACGATGATTTATATCATTCTTTAGGGCTTCATTAGAAGAGGTTAGTGCTTTAATAACTATTGTAGCCAAATTTAAGAATAAAAAATTATTTGCGAAAAAATAAACAATATTTCCGTGGTTGGCCGAACGATTGGAAGCACTAATGATAAATCATGTTATTTTTTAATACTTGGTGCTTAAATCCATAAAATAATCGAATTTAAGAAGAAAAAAGTTACAAGCAAAAATAAAAACTTGTGTCAACTTCGCGCTTAAAAGTTGATTAAAAGCACTAACGAAATATATATCCTTTAGTGCTTCAATCACTTTTATAGACGAATTTAATAATAAAAAGTTATTTGCGAAAAATACAAAAATAAACAAATAATGGTGACGTGCCAAAACTAAAACTATAAAAGTACATCTTGTTTTGGCCAATATTTAGTGCTTAATTAATATATTTATATTCCGTTATTAATTTGTTAACCCCCTTTAAAAAATAAGGTTATAAGCTAAATAAAAATTATGACATCACAATTTAGGCTTTTACAATAAAAGGATAAGAAGCTATATAAAAATATAAAATCTATATTATTTATTTAAAAAAAAGGTAATAAAATACTAATGTAATAAAAAAAAAAGAGAGAGAAGGTGCATCTAGGTTATGGCACCATGGATTAATATACTATGTAACCTACAAATTTCCATTGAGAGGTAAAAACCTTATTGAGGGTCACCCGAAATTAAGAGCATCTTCGGTCGAGTGCCTTGAAAATTCCAATGCTCTAGGTCCAAAAGCACCGATTGTATCATAAACAATCGGGGTTAGAATAATGGGAATGGTAATATTTAATTTTTTCTTCAAATTTAATGATTTATTTTACTTAGTTATATTATATAAAATAAAATAATTTATATTACAATCAAATGTTGTAAATTGGAACCTGAAGATTTTGACACTAATATAATACTTTTTAGGGACATTTTACACTTGGTAAGCATTGAATTAGTTCCTTCAATATAAGATGTTACTGTAAAACTTTTATCATATTTGCCCATGGTAATGATAATTCATCTGATTTTGGATTTTCAGAATCAGATGATGAGAATTAAATAATAATATCCATGCTTATACTAACTATTAAATTAAAATATAAACAATAATGTTCAAATTAATAAACAATAATATTCAAATTAATAAACTATGTGTTAAAAAATTTAAAATGTGAAGCCGAATAAAAAATATAAATAAAACTTTTTTTAAAAAAAATTCGGAAATAATAAATTTTTCAATAAATAAAAATAAAAAGTATTAAAATGGAACGAACTGTAAATTCGAACGCGTTCGTCATAAAAAAGGAACACGTTCAAAGTTCGTCAAAAATAAAAGGAACACTGTTCATTATTTTTTTCAAAAAAACAAATTCGTTCACGATTTACAACACTACAAAAGTACCATAAATCATTTCGCGGTTATGATTTAAGAAACCTGTATATGGGTAAATTAATATTCAATATGTTGTTTTCCTTTAAATAAATGCATTCGCATTATATATTAAGTCGCAGGAATGCACTCGTGATAATTACTTCGGGCAAACACATTCGCGATCAAAATTTTCTAAAATGTATTCGCGGTTATGCGATATTGTTTTCGGTATAAACTTTTCGCGATATTACCTGCGCTATAAAATTCCTTCACGATAAAAGCTTTGCTGAATTGATCTGATACGCCAAAATTAACCCCCGGTATTGATACAGCTTATGTAGAGGAAGTTGTAAAATTCGACTAAAGCGTTAAGTGACACATATTATCTGAAAAATCAATAAAATTGAGTCTAAGGAATTATAAGGAAATTACAGCCCGTCAAATCTTGAGAATTTGCAATACCCTATTATTGTAAGTATAAGTTTAGTTGATCAAATATGAATAAATTATTTTTTAAAACAACATTTATTTTATATATAATAAAATTAATCTATATTGATTTTATAAATACATTATCATACTAATTAATGATTCGATTTCCGCGGCAGTCTAGCTCTTATTCATATTCATTATTATCATTTTCTTTATAATATTTTTTAATCAATTTTCTTGTTGTCGAGATCTTCAATCAATTTCTGTTTTATAACTATAATCAACCAATTTCTTTCTGAAGAAAAAGTAGAAACAAGAATTATTAATAAAATGCCACTTCCATTAACCACTAACCTGAAGCCGGAATCTGATCTTTCTTATGAAAGTTATTGCTTTCCACATAATTTATGTTACTTTTAGGTTAATGATGCTTACTACCAAGTGAATGTATGGAAATATTTTAAATACCAACCTAATTTGCTAAATACCGACCAAAATTTATTAAAATGTAATAAGACCCTTATTATTTAATATATTAATACGGAATCACGTGATCGAGTCCGGCCTCCTATATATTATCCCCCCCCCCCCAAGGATGGAACCACCAAGTTAGATTAAGAAAAAAAATGACCATTCCAAGTTGCCTACTAGGCTATAGAGGCTTTCCAATAATCAAGATTTTTCATATATATATATATTATAAATATATTTCGTAGTGCCTATCCAAATGAAAAATGAACAAAATTTAAATTTGACAGGTAGTACCTTAAGGTAGTAAGCATCATTAACCTTACTTTTACTTCTAATATTGATATCATTTGAAATATTTTGATATATTTTTTAGAGTATTTGGCCTGGTCAAATACTCCAGTCAATTAACTGAATTTGATCGGTCAATCGACCGACTTGCCAACCCTGGTTTATATATAATGATATTTTCATAAAAATTTGGTCCAAGGGATGAAACCTTGGATTTATTAGCAAACACGACAACATCATATATGAATGAAATTCCCCCATGTCTAAATAAATTGTAATTAAAAAAATCAAAATCAGCCTTTATTATTCAAATAAATCTCAAAATATATAATAAAAATAAACATTTTACAAAAAACAACAATTTAATACACATCATTTATCCCCAGTCGATCTGGTTTCCATCGTATCCTTTTGGGATATGTATCTTGACTTGTTTCTTCCTCTCTCTCCTTTGAATTCATTTCATTGTTATTTTTTATTACATACTCTTTGTTTACTATCTCTTCGGTTTTCTCTTCTACTTCAGTACTCTCTTCTTTCGTATTCTTCAATTAATACATTTTCGGTTCTTTTCATTGGTCCGTATGACGTATGTGTACTCGTATTACCCGCTATACTTAATTCATAACGCTGTGGTTCGAGCATGCCTTTAATAATGGCTTCTTCCCATTTTTTTTCTTTATTATTGTAAAGGCGCGACCTAATTTTTTCATTTAACTGAAATTTTTTTCTCCTTTTTGTTTCCCCGTTCGAAAATTTGATCTAACAATCCTCTAGGTTTAAATTTTAGTAGTATTTCAGCGGGACTTTGTTCAGTTTCTGTTCCTGGTGTATTTCTGTAATTGTAGAGAAAAATAGCTAGGCTGGTTTCTAAATCCCTCTCGTTTCTTTTATTCATACTCTGTTTAAAAGTTTGAACTAAACGTTCGGCCATGCCGTTTGTCTGAGGATGGTAAGGACTTCCGTGCACTAATTGAATTCCGTTTTTTTCACAAAAATCATTGAAATCATTTCTGCTGAATTGGGGCCCGTTATCAGAAACGATTATTTTGGGAAATCCGAATCTTGCAAAAATATTTCTTAATGTGTCTAGTGCTAGTCATGGGAACATAGGCGTAGTCGGGGGGGGGGGGGATATTTCTCCCCCTTCCCCCCTTCAAAACTTTATCACTTTTTGTAAATATCATTTTTAGCTAAAAATATCCCCCTTAGTCTTCCCCCAACTTCCTGACCCTCAAATATGCATGCATATATCTTAAATAATAATGTAAAAGAAAGAATGTAAAAGTTGATATTTTTTTATAAAACTATTAATCATAATTTATAGATTTTTGGGAAAATAAATTTATAAATATGTAAAATGAACCAAAAATGTTTTTTAATAAATGGAATATAAGCCAAAGATAAGTCTTAAGACAGAAGTGAAATGTATTAAAATTATTAATAATAGATCCATAAAATTACTAAATAATATAATATATCAAATATAATTTTTTATAAAGTGAGTAATTTTAATTTATTTATTTTAATAAAAGTAAAATATAATTATAAAACTATAGATAAAATTAAATCATAAATTAAAAAAATATTAAAGCACAATACAAACAACTGAATATTATATGTCGTAGATTTACAGTATATCTAATTATCAAATGACAATCAAGTAATTTTTACAAATATAGCGAATTATATATTTTACAGAAAACTATAAAATATTGATAAGGACATCAGAAAATATCTTTTAAAGACATTGTGGGATGAATAATATAAAGATTAAATTTAAATATCATTTTTATCTAAAATAAATAGATGGCGTTAAATAATTAAATGCAAGAGCATATATTAGTAAAATTTGTTAAATTATTAACTGTAATATATTCTCTAACTGTCAAATATGTCTGTAAAAGTGGAATTTTACCTATTATTTTATAACTAACTCTATATAATAGAGGAAAATCAACTATATGTCTACTTACTTTTTATAAATAAATTTCTTATAATTGTTTGGAATAAATTATTACCATGCTTTTATATTAAGGTATATACAATACAAGTAATTTATTATATTTTTATTTTATATAAATTAATAAAAATATATTTCATATTTGTTCCAGGCTTATTTTTTTTGTTAAAATTTGTAAAAATATTTTATGACTATATATAGACTAAAGTAACACGGCCGAAGGCCTAGAGAAAACGGACCGAAGACCAGCCTAAAGGGGGGTCTGGGGGCAAAGCCCCCAGTAATTTTTTAATCCCCCCCCTTATGAAAACCTCGCTACGCCTATGCATGGGAACTACTTCTGACCAGCGACTGCTAGCATCTATCACTACCAACCAATAATGATTTTGAAATGGTCCAGCATAATCAATATGTACTCGGTGCCATACTTTTGGTGGTTTTGGCCAATTTTGAATTGCTGTCTTTTTAGGCATATCGTGTTGTTCCTAGCATTCTCTACATTTTTCGACCCAGGTTTCTATATCTTGGTTTATATTAGGCCACCACGCTAGTGTTGTTAAAACGCCGCGAGTCGCGACCCCGACCCAAAGCTCGGGTCGTTTTATTCGACTCCGACTCAATGTTTGGGTCGTTTTTTTCGACTTCGACCCGAGTTCAAGCCGAAATAAACGACTTCGACCCAAAATATGGGTCGTTTTTTTCGACTCCGACCCAAGTCCAAGCCGAAAAAAACGACCTCGACCCAAAATATGGGTCGTTTTTTACGACTCCGACTCAAAATTTGGGTCGTATTTTTCGACTCAAATTTGAAATTTGGGTCGTATTTTTCGACTTAAACTTGAAGTTTGGGTCATATTTTTCGACTCAAACTTGAAGTTTGGGTCGTATTTTTCGACTAAAACTTGAAGTTTGGGTCGTATTTTTCGACTAAAACTTGAAGTTTGGGTCGTATTTTTCGACTAAAACTTGAAGTTTGGGTCGTATTTTTCGACTAAAACTTGAAGTTTGGGTCGTATTTTTCGTCTCAAACTTGAAGTTTGGGTCGTATTTTTCGACTCCAACTCAAAGTTTGGGTCGTTTTTCTGACTCAGACTCAAACATCGGGTCGTTTTATTCAATCCGACTCAAAATATGGATCTTTCTTTTTAAAGACGACTTAAAGTTAGGGTTGCTTTTTTTCACCCTTAACCCAATATCTAGATCATTTTTTTTGACCAAAAGTCAAATAACATTTAGTATATATTAATATTATAGGCGGGAAAGTTACTTAAAACTTCTTTAAATTATAATGCTCTGGATTAACTATTCATCATAGTTATTTTTTAAAATTTTTAAGTGAAGATGCACCATAGAAAAGAGCCATTTGTTATGATGGTTATTTTTGAACTTTTTTAAATGAAATAGATGAAAATATATATTCTAAACATAAATTTAAAATTTGTGAGGATGTATCATAGATAGGTGACAATTGTCATAATCGTTATTTTTAAACTTTTTTCAAATTTTTAAAGCAAATAGCTAAAAATATATATTCTAAACATGTTAAATTTAAAATTTGTGAGGATGTATCATAGATAGGTGACAATAGTCATAATCGCTATTTTTGAACTTTTTCAAATTTTTTTAAAGGAAATAGCTAAAAATATATATTCTAAACATGTTAAATTAAAAATTCAGTGAGGATGTATCATAGATAGGTGACAATTGTCATAATCGTTATTTTTGAACTTTTTTCAATTTTTTTAAAGGAAATAGCTAAAAATATATATTCTAAACATGTTAAATTAAAAATTCAGTGAGGATGTATCATATATAGGTGACAATTGTCATAATCGCTATTTTTGAATTTTTTCAAATTTTTTTAAAGGAAATATCTAAAAATATATATTCTAAACATGTTAAATTAAAAATTCAGTGAGGATGTATCATATATAGGTGACAATTGTCATAATCGCTATTTTTGAACTTTTTCAAATTTTTTTAAAGGAAATATCTAAAAATATATATTCTAAACATGTTAAATTAAAAATTCAGTGAGGATGTATCATAGATAGGTGACAATTGTCATAATCGCTATTTTTGAATTTTTTCAAATTTTTTTAAAGGAAATAGCTAAAAATATATATTCTAAACATGTTAAATTAAAAATTCAGTGATGATGTATCATATATAGGTGACAATTGTCATAATCGCTATTTTTGAATTTTTTCAAATTTTTTTAAAGGAAATAGCTAAAAATATATATTCTAAACATGTTAAATTAAAAATTCAGTGAGGAAGTATCATATATAGGTGACAATTGTCATAATCGCTATTTTTGAACTTTTTCAAATTTTTTTAAAGGAAATAGCTAAAAATATATATTCTAAACATGTTAAATTAAAAATTCAGTGAGGATGTATCATAGATAGGTGACAATTGTCATAATCGCTATTTTTGAATTTTTTCAAATTTTTTTAAAGGAAATAGCTAAAAATATATATTCTAAACATGTTAAATTAAAAATTCAGTGATGATGTATCATATATAGGTGACAATTGTCATAATCGCTATTTTTGAATTTTTTTAAATTTTTTTAAAGGAAATAGCTAAAAATATATATTCTAAACATGTTAAATTAAAAATTCAGTGAGGAAGTATCATATATAGGTGACAATTGTCATAATCGCTATTTTTGAACTTTTTCAAATTTTTTTAAAGGAAATAGCTAAAAATATATATTCTAAACATGTTAAATTAAAAATTCAGTGAGGATGTATCATAGATAGGTGACAATTGTCATAATCGTTATTTTTGAACTTTTTCAAATTTTTTTAAAGGAAATAGCTAAAAATATATATTCTAAACATGTTAAATTAAAAATTCAGTGAGGATGTATCATAGATAGGTGACAATTGTCATAATCGTTATTTTTGAACTTTTCTCAATTATTTTAAAGGAAATAGCTAAAAATATATATCCTAAACATGTTAAATTAAAACATCAGTGAGGATGTATCATAGATAAGGGACAAAAAATGGTTATTATATATACGAGTAGTAAGGTACATAATATTTTTAAGTGATAAAATGAGATGCTAATATATTTCTTGTAATTTTAATTTATAATAAAATTCTTAAATCTTTGAAGTTACTAGTTAGGATAAAAGTTACTTGGCACATCATACAATGATATTTATACCTTGTTTTTTTTTTCGAGAATAAATTTTATGCGATATCTCATGAAGGAAATTACATACCATTGTACAGAGAAATAACTTTGTATATATTATCTGCACCAATATCTTTTATATCAATCTCTATCGGTGACATTTTAAATTATATTGGAAACTAGATTGTGTAGATTTCTAAATATTAATTTAAAGGATTAAGATTTTAGAATTAATTATAAATATATCTTAATAATTTTTATATTGCATTTATTATTTAAAATCTCTCGTTTTAAGCCTATTTAGCAAGAAAAATATTGACTAATCCTGAAATTACGATAATAGATATCTATACCTTTATATAATCTATGAGAAAAATTGCTCTCATAATATTCTTCTTAATAAAATAGTGAATAATTAACGCCTGAAAAAAAGTATAGCGCTTTATAACATGGTTCAAAGTTAATCCCAGTATCAATTTTAATGTGTAATTTTTCTCAAGTGTTCAAAATTCTAAATCTTAATATCAAAAACTATTTTAGTTATCAATTTAAAGTCAAATAATATTAAAACACTAATATTCTACAGTATTCATAAAAAACAACAGCCTGAAATAAGAATACTAAGCTCAAAACATCTTAAATATTTGATACATTTATAGTTTAAATATTTTTATTTAAATTATATATATTTATTAATGTACAAAAAATTTAATTTAACAATATATATAGATATAAAAATTATGTATAAAATTTATTATTCATGATATTGATATCCCATGAATTTAAACATAAACACTGTTTAAGTGTTTCGGAGGCCATGCGATTTCTTTTCTTTGTTACGGTGTCCACCCCTCTTGAGAAGACACGCTCGCTCTCAACGGATGTATTGCTGCGACAAAAAATCTTTAGCCATCATGCAAAGGTACGGAAAACGCTCAGAATTAAAGTACGACTTAAAAAAACTCGACTTAACACTACATTTATGAAAAATATAGCTCGCCTAAATTATTAAATTATATTTAAAAAAATTCATATTTTAATTGAAAAATGCATCCGGAATCGCAAATACTTATTTAAAAAATTTATTGTTTTATTAGTTTAAAAATTCCATATGGAAGTGAAGTGACTATTTAAATTCTAAAATTATAAAAGATATTTTATTTTACTTTTAGTGGTGCCAGCTAGACGGCAAATTTGTTGAGATTTTTTCTTTTCTTCATTGTTAGGGATAGGGATATGATTAATAATCATTTTTTTTAACTTTCCAAATTTTTTTTAACTTTCCAAATTTTTTTTTATTATTTTTAGGGGTATAAATCTAAATTTTTTTATTTTATTCATTTTTTGTTTTTAAAATTATAATTTAATATTATTAACATAAATTTTATTAATAAAAGTTGTCCAATTTAAATCATTTCTTAAATATTATTTTTATATAAAACTTTTCTTAGTGTGATGTCACAAAGTTCAAGTTCTACGCCATCAAGGTCAACTCAAGATGATAGAGAAAATCAAGTAAATCAATAACCATAAACCTTTATGATATTATTTCGATTTTATGCAATTATAACCTTTATTTTAATATATTTATAATTTTAGTTGGAGCCTTTTTCGGATTCACTAATAGAACAGGATTTAAATTCTTCTGCGATTAATAGTAGTTTCAATATTAAATCAAATTATAATTATAGTCCAAATAAATCACACAAAAAATGCAATCATTGCGAAAAAATATATCGTTCCACTACCGCTACAAGTTTAATAAATTTTTGTTTTTATATAGTTACATTAAATTAAATTTTCAAATTTAAAAAGAAATTATTCCTTATGATGGCAGTAATGTTTTTTAATATTTAAAAAAACATAAAATATTTCGGGGTTTTTAGGATTTTAATGTTGGTCTAGAATTGTTTTGTTTTCCTCCAGTTTTTAAATATTTTTAAGCTAAAAGTGGATAATAACTTATTTATTTTCAATATATAAAAAAATAAAAACTAAATTAAAAAAATTTTAATTTTTATGACGGTACAGCTCTGTCAATTTTGCGATATTTGCTTATAAAGATTTAATTATTACTTCATAATGGCCTATTTTATCTTATTTAAGTGCTAAATTTACCTATCTTTTTATTTTTTACTCTAATTTTTTATTATTTTAAACCTAATTAAAATATAGAAAATATATTCAATATATAAACCTGGCTATATTTTTCAAAAAAGGTAATAATTTATACTTAATATTAATTATTTAGAATATTAAGTTAGGTTACTATTTTTTTGGAGGGGCTCATTATTATGTTGTTCAAACGTCGCGACCCCGACCCAGAGTTTGGGTCGTTTTTTTGACTCGGACTTCTTTTTATATTGAATGTTATTTTTTTAAATGTTTTTTATGTTATTTTTTTTTGATATATTATTGTTCTTTTGTAGTGTTGTTAAATGGCTCGTTTTAAGCCGATTTTTAAAAACGGCTAACTCAATATTTCGTCCAGAAAAATATTACTTAAGCCTCAAGATTTTGCTCATAGAAGGAACAAAGGTCTAGGCTTATATTATCGAAATCTCGAGACTTAGACAATATTTTTCTGGCTAAAATATTGAGTTAGCCGTTTTAAAAAATCGGCTCAAAATGAGCCGTTTAACAACACTATTCTTTTGTGATTGGTTAATTTATTTTATTTTTAAAATAATATACATATATTTTTTTATTTAGGATATTTTTAAATAATATTTTTATAAATTTTATATCAATATAAATACAGTTCTATTTATAATAAATTTTTATAGCTAATAATAGGTATTACAAATATTTAATTTACAATATACGGCTAGCCCGGCCCGGATTTTTTTAAAATATATTATATTTATAATAGATTTTTAGCTAATAAAAGCGATTTAAAATATTTAATTTGATATATATGGCCGGCCCTGTTCGGATATTTTTTTATAAATAATTTTAGGCCCAGCCCGGTGGTATATATAAAAAAATTAAAATACGATCTAGCCCTCTGATATATTTTATTTATTAATTTCTGATTGTAACTTAGCTTATTAACAACAAAATAGGTATTAATTCTTAGTATTATTTAATACTTCTTTGTAGGGTCATTGTCAAATCAATCACTTTTCGGCCGACCCCTTTCGATTTCTTAAAAATGGCCAAATTAGGATTTTAGCAAAATAATAAGTAAGCCTCGAGATTTGGTAAAATAAAAACCTATCTGTCATCTATAAAATCTCCATGATTACATAATATTATTCAGGTCTTTTTAAAAATCGATCAAATCGGGCTTAACATTAATGATAGGCAATATATCAGTATTAAAATTTTTATTAGTTAGTGCATTATGCATCAACATTCAAATGTTTGAATAATCGAAAGGAGGCAGGGTTTAGAATATAGTTTCTTTTGATTTATTTAATAATATATATGTCGTATTGGGGAATCATGTGGGATTCGGAATCCCAACGTGGGGATTCAAGATCTTGAATCCCCACGTTTTATTCGGGATCTTTTTTTTTAAATATTTTTAAAAAAAATATTTAAAAAATATTCCGAATCCCCATGCTCTTTTTTGCGGCTGGCACCATATAATTAAAAAACCAAAATAAGGGATTTAATAAGAGAATTTTTAAAAAAAGTAAATAGTATAAAATTAAGAAATATAATGAATGAAAAGGGATGAGGTTAAGGCTTTTTTGTTTTAAAAAATATATTTACAAAAAATCCGAATTATTGCAACATTTAAGCAGGGACCCGAACCGTTATTTATAACGGTTCAGTTTGGTTACGGTTCAGTATATAAAAAATTATAATAGTTACGTTTTGGTTACGGTGCTTGAGAAGGAATTTATATAAAGGTTCCGTTCGGTTCAGCTAATTATAAAGGTTCATTACGGTTAGAAATTTTTTTTTATTGAAGCAACACCATCTTTTAATTTATTTTTATTATAAGCATTTATGAATTATATATAAAAAAAATATATAAGATTCAAAATAACTCATTTTTAAATATTTATTTGAACATATAAGCTATATATTTTCAAGTATAAATAGATTCCTTTTTGTTCGTAGTGACGATAACACAAAAAGCCCTTTCTACAGAAATTTGTGTTGCTGGAACCTCCTGGTTCAGATATTTATAACAAAAATAAATTTTTTTTAAAAAAATATTTAAGGGGATTCGGAATCTTTTTTTAAAAAAAACAATTAAATTATATTTTCACCAGAAAATTTTATTTTTTAGAGATAATTAATATTGTATTACTTTTATGCTTTAAATCATTAAATACTCGAAGGCAATATTTTGTTTCACGCCCGAAAATTCACGGTGTTTTTAAATATTTCAAAACTTTAATGCTATAATTTTTTCACTTTATTGAATTTATTTTATTTATTTCTTTAATTCCATAATCCATAATAACAAAAAATAAATACATATTATAAATCCAAATTTTTACTTAGAAAAAGAAGAATGTCTATTTTTTTTATTTCAATTGTGTACGCCTTTCCTCTAATAGGCGATTGGCTACAGAAAAATAGCCTTTCACTAGAAACAGAATTTGCCTGGGCTGACAAAATTTTACCCTCTAATTTTCTCAAAAAAGGAAATAAATTTTCCTGCTTCCAAAACTTCTAAATATTGCCATTGTTATTTGTTTTATTTTTTAAAATTTTATTTTGATAATATTGATATTGTTATAATTTAAAAAAATATGATAAAACACTAAAATATTAAAACTATATAAAAATATGTAAAAAAAAAATATAAAAACTAAATAAAAATATATATTGGTCCTTAGCTTTTTTTAAAAAAAAACATTTTGATAATCTCAACTTAAAATTTGTTCGTTGTTATAAATAATTAAGTTTTAACAATCTCTAAATGAGTCTGACCTTATTTGTCTCAACCTAAAGATACATAGTATTTTTCCTTATTCATATTTGATATTTTAGAACGGCTAACTCAATATTACATCCAGAAAAATAAACCATTATAATTTTTTATATACTGAACCGTTATAAATGTTTGGATCCCTGCTTAAATGTTCAATGAAATGCCATATTGCATTGAATAATTGTTGCAATAATTCGGATTTTTTATAAATATATTTTTTAATATTTTCTAAAACAAAAATGTCTTAACCTCATCCCTTTTCATTCATTATATGCCTTAATTTTATACTATTTACTTTTTTTTAAATTCCCTTTTTAAATCCCTTATTTTGGCCTTTTAATTATGTGGTGCCAGCCGTAAAAAAGAGAAGAAAAAGTAATTATATTATTTTATTTTTTATTCATGGGGATTCGGAATATTTTTTAAATATTTTAATAAAAATATTTAAACAAAAAGATCCCGAATAAAACGTGGGGATTCAAGATCTTGAATCCCAACGTTGGGATTCCGAATCTCACATGATTCCATATCCCAAATACGACATATATAATATATATAATTTATTTAATAATATATATAATTTATTTTAGCCAATTTGCGCAAACATCTTCTAACCAAACATCCTGAAGTAATCAATGATTCGCCACCTTTGCCTGATTCTATTATAGGGGCAAGAAAACTTACAACAGACGATAATTTTCATTTAAATAAATTAATACTCAAATATATCATCAATGAAAATATTTCATTTAGAACGTATGATAGTAAAAATTTTAAAGACATCTTTACATATTTAAACAAAACCTCCAAAGTTTGGTGCAGGCAAACTGCTATGAAATATTTAAACAATATATATAACGAGGCTAAAACAAATATTATAAATTCCTTCCATAATTATAAAAATAAGATGGCAATAACAACAGACATATGGACCAGCAATAATTTAATAAGTTATTGCGCCATAACGGTCCATTATATAAATGATAAATGGAATATAACTAATGCCTTATTATCAATTACGGAATTTGCCCACCCTCACACGGGTGAAGATATTAAAGAATTATTATTATCAATAATGACAGAGTACAAAATAATAGATAAAATATCATCCATTACCCATGATAATGGATCGAACATGCTTTCGGCGGGAAAGCTCATAATTCCTTTAATTCGTGAGACATATAACCAAAATTTTAACACAATTAGATGTCTTGCCCACATTATTAATTTGATTGTACAAGAAGGACTGCCAACAATCTCAACAGATTTAGAAAAAGTTGAAATGTTGGTGAAAAAAATTCATAAAAGTCCTTCCTTGATGCAGGATTTTGTTGATATTTGTAATTGCAAAATTCCATTAGATGTGTCAACTAGGTGGAATTCAAAGTATCTCATGCTTAGTAAAATTAATAAGGTATTAATATTAATATTTAATTTTTTTACTGTTTGATTTATAGAATTTAGAAACTATTGTTAAAATGGGGAAAAGATGTATCAATGAAAATTTTTACATTAATACAGATGAGAGTAGAATGTTAAAAGATATAGAGGATTTTTTATATCCTTTTTATAAAATAACGTGCGAGATAAGTACGAATACATCTACAATAGGGATGTATGCACTATATTTAGATACGATTCAAATATTACTGGTAACAAGTATTGAAACCAGTAATAATAATGTTATAGTAGAATCGTCTAGATCTATGTTGGCTAAATGCCAAAAATATATCAATATTATGGACAATTTCGAAATATATGTGTGTAGTTTTCTTGATCCACGTATCAAGAAAACATTCATACCTTTATGGATAAACAAAGAATGTTATTATGAAAAATTGATTGCTTTATATGGTAAATACCGGTGTAATATATCGCCAGAAATATCAGAAAAAGACGATAATTGTGAAATGATGTCAATAACTATCTTAAATAGTCTGAGAAGGTATATATTTAATATTCTATAACTATTTTAAATTTTCTCAAAGTTGATATATTTAATTTTAATAATTTATTTTATATTTTTAGGAAAGCCTCGTTAGTTCCAATGGTGAACGAGATCGCCGAATACCTAGCTGATCCAGTAGTCTCAGCAACGACTACAGTGTTGGATTGGTGGAGCTGTAATTCTGAGCGTTTTCCGTACCTTTGCATGATGGCTAAAGATTTTTTGTCGCAGCAAAGTACATCCGTTGAGAGCGAGCGTGTCTTCTCAAGAGGGGTGGACACCGTAACAAAGAAAAGAAATCGCATGGCCTCCGAAACACTTAAACAGTGTTTATGTTTAAATTCATGGGATATCAATATCATGAATAATAAATTTTATACATAATTTTTATATCTATATATATTGTTAAATTAAATTTTTTGTACATTAATAAATATATATAATTTAAATAAAAATATTTAAACTATAAATGTATCAAATATTTAAGATGTTTTGAGCTTAGTATTCTTATTTCAGGCTGTTGTTTTTTATGAATACTGTAGAATATTAGTGTTTTAATATTATTTGACTTTAAATTGATAACTAAAATAGTTTTTGATATTAAGATTTAGAATTTTGAACACTTGAGAAAAATTACACATTAAAATTGATACTGGGATTAACTTTGAACCATGTTATAAAGCGCTATACTTTTTTTCAGGCGTTAATTATTCACTATTTTATTAAGAAGAATATTATGAGAGCAATTTTTCTCATAGATTATATAAAGGTATAGATATCTATTATCGTAATTTCAGGATTAGTTAATATTTTTCTTGCTAAATAGGCTTAAAACGAGAGATTTTAAATATTAAATGCATATAAAAATTATTAAGATATATTTATAATTAATTCTAAAATCTTAATCCTTTAAATTAATATTTAGAAATCTACACAATCTAGTTTCCAATATAATTTAAAATGTCATCGATAGAGATTGATATAAAAGATATTGGTGCAGATAATTTATACAAAGTTATTTCTCTGTACAATGATATGTAATTTCCTTCATGAGATATCGCATAAAATTTATTCTCGAAAAAAAAACAAGGTATAAATATCATTGTAAGATGTGCCAAGTAAATTTTATCCTAACTAGAAACTTCAAAGAGGAAATATTTTAATATCCTTAAACTTAAAAATATAATATGAATAAAACATAGATGAATTTATGTGATAGTTGATTTTCTGACCCAGTCTATGACAATAACATATTTAAGAATTTTTTTATAAATTAAAATTACAAGAAATATATTAGCATCTCATTTTATCACTCAAAAATTATTATGTACCTTACTACTCGTATATATAATAACATTTTTTGTCCCTTATCTATGATACATCCTCACTGATATTTTAATTTAACATGTTTAGGATATATATCTTTAGTTATTTGCTTTAAAAAAATTGGAAAAAGTTTAAAAATAACGATTATGACAATTGTCACGTATCTATGATACATCCTCACTTAATTTTTAATTTAACATGTTTAGAATATATATTTTTAGCTATTTTCTTTAAAAAATGTTAAAAATAGCGATTATGAAAATTGTCACCTATCTATGATACATCCTAACTTAATTTTTAATTTAACATGTTTAGAATATATATTTTTAGCTATTTTCTTTAAAAAATGTTAAAAATAGCGATTATGAAAATTGTCACCTATCTATGATACATCCTCTTAAATTTTTAATTTAACATGTTTAGAATATATATTTTTAGCTATTTCCTTTAAAAAAATTTGAAAAAGTTCAAAAATAGCGATTATGACAATTGTCACCTATATGATACATCCTCACTGAATTTTTAATTTAACATGTTTAGAATATATATTTTTAGCTATTTCCTTTAAAAAAATTTGAAATAATTCAAAAATAGCGATTATGACAATTGTCACCTATCTATGATACATCATCACTGAATTTTTAATTTAACATGTTTAAAATATATAATTTTAGCTATTTCCTTTAAAAAAATTTGAAAAAGTTCAAAAATAGCGATTATGACAATTGTCACCTATCTATGATATATCATCACTGAATTTTTAATTTAACATGTTTAGAATATATATTTTTAGATATTTCCTTTAAAAAAATTTGAAAAATTTCAAAAATAGCGATTATGACAATTGTCACCTATCTATGATACATCATCACTGAATTTTTAATTTAACATGTTTAAAATATATAATTTTAGCTATTTCATTTAAAAAAATTTGAAAAAGTTCAAAAATAGCGATTATGACAATTGTCACCTATCTATGATATATCTTCACTGAATTTTTAATTTAACATGTTTAGAATATATATTTTTAGATATTTCCTTTAAAAAAATTTGAAAAAGTTCAAAAATAGCGATTATGACAATTGTCACCTATATATGATACATCCTCACTGAATTTTTAATTTAACATGTTTAGAATATATATTTTTAGCTATTTCCTTTAAAAAAATTTGAAAAAATTCAAAAATAGCGATTATGACAATTGTCACCTATCTATGATACATCATCACTGAATTTTTAATTTAACATGTTTAAAATATATAATTTTAGCTATTTCCTTTAAAAAAATTTGAAAAAGTTCAAAAATAGCGATTATGACAATTGTCACCTATCTATGATACATCATCACTGAATTTTTATTTTACATGTTTAGAATATATAATTTTAGCTATTTCCTTTAAAAAAATTTGAAAAAGTTCAAAAATAGCGATTATGACAATTGTCACCTATCTATGATACATCATCACTGAATTTTTAATTTAACATGTTTAGTATATATATTTTCAGATATTTCCTTTAAAAAAAATTAAAAAAGTTCAAAAATAGCGATTATGACAATTGTCACCTATCTATGATATATCTTCACTGAATTTTTAATTTAACATGTTTAGAATATATATTTTTAGATATTTCCTTTAAAAAAATTTGAAAAAGTTCAAAAATAGCGATTATGACAATTGTCACCTATATATGATACATCCTCACTGAATTTTTAATTTAACATGTTTAGAATATATATTTTTAGCTATTTCCTTTAAAAAAATTTGAAAAAATTCAAAAATAGCGATTATGACAATTGTCACCTATCTATGATACATCATCACTGAATTTTTAATTTAACATGTTTAAAATATATAATTTTAGCTATTTCCTTTAAAAAAATTTGAAAAAGTTCAAAAATAGCGATTATGACAATTGTCACCTATCTATGATACATCATCACTGAATTTTTAATTTAACATGTTTAGAATATATATTTTTAGATATTTCCTTTAAAAAAATTTGAAAAATTTCAAAAATAGCGATTATGACAATTGTCACCTATCTATGATACATCATCACTGAATTTTTAATTTAACATGTTTAAAATATATAATTTTAGCTATTTCCTTTAAAAAAATTTGAAAAAGTTCAAAAATAGCGATTATGACAATTGTCACCTATCTATGATATATCTTCACTGAATTTTTAATTTAACATGTTTAGAATATATATTTTTAGATATTTCCTTTAAAAAAATTTGAAAAAGTTCAAAAATAGCGATTATGACAATTGTCACCTATATATGATACATCCTCACTGAATTTTTAATTTAACATGTTTAGAATATATATTTTTAGCTATTTCCTTTAAAAAAATTTGAAAAAATTCAAAAATAGCGATTATGACAATTGTCACCTATCTATGATACATCATCACTGAATTTTTAATTTAACATGTTTAAAATATATAATTTTAGCTATTTCCTTTAAAAAAATTTGAAAAAGTTCAAAAATAGCGATTATGACAATTGTCACCTATCTATGATACATCATCACTGAATTTTTAATTTAACATGTTTAGAATATATATTTTTAGATATT